GGGCAAACCGTTAATTATTTTCCTGAGGGTAGGTCATTATTCCTTTATATAAAGAAAGGTTCAAAATCACATTCAAATAATTACAGATGAATAACACTTCTCACTGTTTTTGGTAAGATTTTCTGTAGTATTGTGAATCACAAGCTCTATAAATAGGCAGAAGACGGTGATGTATCTTCAGATACTCTAGCAGGAATGACAGTCGCACAAATGCAATAATAATGTGCAATTGGTGATTAGAAAATCTGAAAAAAAAATGTATATTTTTTTAAATTATCAAACTTTGTACCGGGTTTTTGAAATCATATTTATTAAAAACAGTATTAAGTCATTATATGGAGTTGAAAATACGCTTACGTTATTGGTTAAAATATCACTGCAAAATGTGTGTTGCTCTTGTACTGTTTGTCTGTAAAATAGTGATTTTATGATACAAATTGATAAAAACGCGGAGAAAATATAACTGAATCGTTTGTTGAACAACTGGTGTGCAGTTTCTATGCCCGTTACCATGTTGTTGTTTTTTCGGTATTTTGTAATGATAATTTTCATATATAACACTCGTTACAGATGACGTGAAAGTAATGCGTCAAAGATGCTCATTCAGGAATCCAATGCTTTGTTAATATGTTCATCTACTGAATATGCAACACACATTACACAGAATATGTAACGTTCATTTTAAAAGTTAAGGTCAATAATACCTTTTGGTTTCATGCACGTCATGTCAACAAATTACCATAAAGCATCCTTAACAAATAATTATTTTTGATATATTGTAAAATATATTGAAAAAGCGGCATGCAATTTTAGCGAATTGTTGTAAAATGACGTAATAGCGAAATGTTGATTTAGCGAATCTCTCTTGTCATTGTTGATGTATTTGTTTGGCGGCCACTTTGAATTGATATTAAAGTCATTAGCGACATCTTGAATTAGCGAAACAGTTCTCTCGCTAAATTCGCGAAAAAGACATGTTTTACAGTATGCGTTAAAGTGCAATTCTGCGCAATGCATACTCGGGCACTGACGAAAGCTGTTTTTAATTTTGTTATTTTTATTAGAGACATAATGTACATGCATTGAAGAATGTTATTAACATATAATGAGTGGAATGCTTAAGACTCTCTGGGCTTTCTGGGACTTTCAAATCCAGTAGTCCGGGATCGCACTCTGAATCTTTTGAACTAAATCCCTTAACAGCGTACCTATTGCGTGTTCCAATCTGTTCGACAAGATTGTGCTATTACTGCTCTCTTACAAACACGACATATACAACTTACAGCAAATACTAGCACACCAGTTTAAATTAGGTAGATTGCAGTATGTCAGTCATACCCACGAGATTGTTACACAACTCACACAAGCTAGCTGAGATGGTCTTTAGAAATAAATGACTTCATTAGGTTGCCGTTTTTAAATGAAAGACGACGCGAAACACGTAGATAGCTTACAACAAATTAATTTATCTGTGTGTGGCGATATTGTTCTTTCGCAGATTTGTGTTCGTGCTCTCCCTTTAGAAATATAAATAAATGCGGTACGCATTCGCTATTTGTAGACATTATATTTTCACCACAAAATTTACGCACTCAGTCGGGTCACTACAAATAAAGTTATTCCCTGGAGCATTTTTTTCT